GATTCTGTGCTTGTTCATCTGCAGCGACAGAGAAAACACTGAATTTTTTGTCAGATTGTTTCACGTGGTCCAGGACTCAGACACATGAACCACAAACCTGAGTTTCCTCTTTAAAAGGTGTTTTGTGAGGACTCGTGTGTGTGTGTGAGTCATGAGCAGATCAGACGGAACGTTCTCATGGACGTTCTAATGACAACAGGAGAACTTAACACACAACAGTCACTTCATCGGTGTGAAGGAGCCTCCAGGACGCAGGGAGGGGAGTGGGCGAGGGGGACATGTCACACTCCGGTGATAATCACAGTGAAGTTGTGTGACAGGGAGCGGAGAACGTGTGAACTCTTTATTTATGCTTCTGCTTTTGGAACAAAGTCAAACCTGCACTTTCAGAATAAACCGTTTGTGTAAAAGTGTTGAGTCTCTTCTGCAAAACCTGTGAGTCATTTTCATTATTTAGAAAAATTTTGAAAATATTGAGAGATAAACAACTGTAAACATAAAGACACAGATCTGATTGTAGAGATGTAACAATCTCCAAATCTCTCAGTTCGATATTTATTGTGATATTTTGAAGAGGCTGATATAATTGTAGTCAGGAAAATGTTTTTGTTTTTAAAATACCCTGAATTATTTCCGTCATAATCCCAAGAATTCAAGTTAAAAACATATTTCTTCATGTTGTTTGCGCTGAAATGAACATGGGAAATGTGGTTCCTGATGTTTATGAGCTTTTGGTGATATAAACAGTGTTGGGGAGTAACAGATTACATGTACCGGAGTAATCAGAGTACAAATGATGAGTAACTGTATTCAGTTACAGTTACTGTTTCAGTGAGTGGGAATTGGATTACAGTTACTTTGTTGAAATAAATGGATTACATGGCGGGATTTTCCTGTTTTCACATTTTGGGCTAAACCAGGACTAAACCAGGACTAAACCAGGACTAAACCAGGACTAAAGAATATAACACTAACAGTAGGTGGACATAATTTAAAGCAGCAGTGTCTCATACAGAAATCATTTCTCTATCAATAATATTTTTAATATGGTTAAGGGCCTTTTTATTTTCTTTTACAGACAAAACATCTCATGTTCAGATCCTCGTCTTTGCTTCTCTACAGTAAAACAAAAGCCTCTTCATGTTTTACGCCCAACAACCAATTTGAAGAGAACAAACAAGAATTTGCAGGATGTGGTTGATGCATTCATGTAGTTTTAAAAAACATGACAATATCAAGTAATCCAAAGTATTCAGATTACGTTACTTTAAGTAAATTAGTGGATTACGTTACAAACTACATTTTGGAGTATGTAATCTGTAATCTGTAGGGGATTACATTTTAAAAGTAAACTTCCCAACACTGGATATAAAACCTGCATAATGGGCAAAAGATGTTGTAATTCTATATTGTGACCACGATATTATTTTGAGACTTTTGACGATACGATATCACAATATTTTGGTTATTGTTACATCCCCAGCAGATTGATATATTCAGATCTACTTAAATACTATATTTCTACACAGATATATAATCCACACGTGTAGGTATCGATATGTGTGGAAATATAGATTGTGATATTATATAATCGCAACACCAAGAGATGAAAATATCAGGAAAAAACAACATGAGAATCTAGAGAAATGCTGGAGCTGGAGAAGGTCTGGAGGGTGAAGGCCTCAGTGGAGCTCGTGGAGAAACAACAGAACATCTCAGTCCAGACGTGTGAAGAATCCCTCAGTCGTCCAGGTCAAATCCATGAGGAGAAAATTCAGTTTGTCGACTGGACAAAAGTTAGTTTGGTTGAAGACGTTTCGCAGCTCATCCAAGCTGCTTCTTCAGTTCCTGCGAAACGTCTTCAACCAAACTAACTTTTGTCCAGTCGACAAACTGAATTTTCTCCTCATCTCCGTCCAGAAAAGAACAAAACAGAGCAAAGATACTGAAGAACTGTCAAACTCCCAGACCTCGAGGAGCCGAGCTGATGAGGGAGAACAACCACCGAGGAAGGTGAGGAGCACATCATTTTGGACCTGCCACTTTTTGTTCAAATGTAAATAAAAGCTGAGAAATATTTCTTTCCACAATGACACTTTTTAGATATCGTCTTATCTTCTGGGCGTCGCCCGTGTCATTTCCAATCAAGAAAAAAACTTCCTGGTTGAATAAAAGTAACTTCAGGTCAAAATTTGCCACAGGTAAGAATCATTTTGGGCTTGACTGTGTGTATTAGGGATGGGCAGGATTAGTCGATTAATCGATAATTGATCATTAAGAATTTGATGGATTCCGTTGATTTTAATGGACAAACTGAATGTATGTGTGTGTGTCGTGACCAAACAGGTGTGTACATGTGTCTCTGCATCAGAAGGAGCGACACACAAACAGTGGGTCAGTCTGTAACGAACCGAAGCACAAATGTGGATTTAACCAGGATTTGTAGAAGAAATTCCACACTTTCCGTTGCGTTGGGACAAGTGTGAGTCCATGTGCACAGTGGATAAAGCAGCACATATGTTTCTGTGTCCAGTGGGAAAAAGTTTTTCCAGGTGAGAGTCGCTCAATGTGGATGACGAGGCCCCGCCCCCCTCCCCCCGTACGCTGTCCTGGTTTTGACAAACACAAATCTGGTCACACTGACCTGTATTCACCTGAGTCATGTCTTTTAATCCAACACAAGTTGAACCACATCAGCGACACAAGAGCTGGAGTTTTATCTTCACTTAGTTTATGTAAATTAGTGATGTGGTTTTAAGTTTTGTTTCTGTGAGATTTGAACAAAACTGAATTAAACACATTATAATGTCAAACAGCTGATGTGGATCTAGAGTCGTTATGTTTATATGTCGTAAAGTTGAATTTATTGATGCAGATTAGTGCAGATAGTAATAATAATGATGATCATTTTAATATAAAAACATTAATGATTAATCGATAATCGATCGTTAATTCTTCCGACGATCGATTAAGAACATTTCATCGAATGCCCGTCCCTAGTGTGTATATAAACATTTTTATAGCTTATGTATATTTATGTGTGTCTATATCTGTGTGTGTGTGTGTGTGTTTCTCTCTCGTGGCAGTGGAGTTTTCATTCCGCTCTCTTCTCTCCAATTTATGTTTCTCTTTTTAATTTTAATCTTCATGATTCTTTATGTTTTGATTTGTTTTTATGATTTTAATGTATTTCTTATTCTGTAAAACACTTTGAATTACTTTGTGTACGAATTGTGCTGTACAAATAAACTTGCCTTGGAGTGGTTGGCTGTGCTGCTCTTGTGGCTGCCCGGCTCACACACTGAACACTTTTTGAACCTTGAGCTCATATCGTTGGATTTTAACAAACTCAGAAGTGCAGCTCAAAGGACACGAGTGCAAAAGGACTGATTGGATTTTGAGAAATTAAGTTTGTTTTTCCCGTTTCCATGGAGACCGAGCGAGAGCCTAAGGAGCGAGTTACAGACATTTGAGACGCTACGGGTTTTTTACTCCACATGTGGCAGCGAACGTGTCCATCTCAACATTACAGAGTGACATATACACATTTTTTTTCTTCTTATAAAACGGTAAAACCCATAAAAATACTCTGATGTTATAGATTAAAATGTTTTTAGAGCAATAAATCCACACAGACGCTGGAGTGTCACCAGTTTATTGGATTCTGACACAGACCCGGGCCCTGACCCGACCAGAGGAACCAGAACCAGAACCAGAGGAACCAGAACCAGAACCTCTCCATCTGCTCAATAACACTGATCTTATTCAACACTCAGCACACACACACACACACAACACACACACACACACCAGGCTTTTCTATTGCACTATGTCCAAACTTTAGAGACGACATCACAACATTCTACAGGCTTCAGTTTTTAGCTTTTTTTTTTTTTTTAATAATAGCACAAACTCGTCTCGGCTCTAGTCACTGACAGAAATGATCAGGTTCAACATTTGTGCGTTCGACTTTTGGAGATTTCACGGCAAAGTCCAACGTGATCAAAGTCGACCACCGTCTCCCAAAACCCACTCCGCACCGATCGAGAACGTGAGAATCTCCAAACTTCTGCTCCCACAAATGTTTCTCCGTCTCGTTCTTTGTTCCTCAGACGTGTCAAAAATATTATTATTATTATTACTTTATGGCTTAAAGTCCTTTCAGCTGAAACGTCGCGTCTTCAGGGTTGAGGAACGGCTCCGCTTTCTGAAGACGCCGAACTTTGCGCCGGTTTTCGTTTCGAGGAGAGGAGCTTCTAGAACGTCGTGATGCCGTGAAGTCGCTCTACGGTCGACGCGGGGGACGGACCTTTTGAGCGCGAGAGATGCCGAAAACGCGTCCGGTGTGGTCACAGATGCGGCAGGAGTCCGGACTGGCGGCGGACCGGACCGTATAAAGTGCACATATAAAGGACAGAAGGGGCGGGGTCTGGGGGACGAGGGGGCGGGGCATAGCTTATCGAACTCCTAACGCTACATTAACGGCGTCACTTCCTCCACAACTTTACGTTAAGTCGGCAAACTGTCGTGGGATTGGTGAGAATTTCGAAGAGGTTTTCAGTGGTGCTGCCACGTTTACATGAAGCTTTTTAATTCTGAATTAATTGTTCCGGATTAAATAGTTTGGAGTTTACATGGAAATATCGTTAAATGTTCTTTATTTAATGTGTGTGAGCGTCTGGGGGGAGGTTCTGATTGGACAGAGACGCCAACAGATTTACGTCTTTGGGAAGAAAACAAACTTCAGCTACTCCCGGCTTTTCTGTCGTCTCAGTTTGTGGTTCCTCCACCAACACAAACACGTCCAAACTTTTCCTGCAGTGGTTCTGATGATAATTGTTGTGAAGCAGCGGCTGGAGAATCGTCTCATCACACTTTCCGTCTGTGAGCCGAGGAGGAGGAGGGAAGAGCATCGGAGAAGTGAGGAAGAAGACAAAAGCTCAGCCCACTCCCGCATCCCGCTCACAAATCCAAAGAGACAAAGTCCCGAGACACGACTGGAGGACGCGGATCGAAGGACGACACGACGAACACGAAGCACCAGCAGCATTTTAACAAGAACAAACGTTTATGGAGACGCCACTGCTCTGCCTGGAATGTTCCACAGTGTGACTTTAAACAAATCCACTTTACATTTATTCAATTACAGGTGGTTTTAGAGCTCAGGACTAAACCAGGATCTAAAACCAGAACTAAACCAGGACCAAAACTTTTAACATTCACGCTCTCCTCAGGGTCACATAGACCCGAAGAAACTTTTTTTTTTTTTTGGGTCAATCAGAACCAAAAATGTATTTTCTCGCCTGGTGAGAAAATACATTTTTGGGTCTGATTGACCCGCCCCAAGAGAGCAGGAAGGGAAAACAAAATTCTTGGGGTCTATGTGACCCTGAATAAATTCATTCAGCTTTAAAATCAGAATAAACCTCCCACTTACTTCAGAAGTAAGTTTAATTCCCATTAATCATTTTCATTTGGAATTAAGTGTTTACATGAACTTTTTAAAGCTGAATTCATTTTTATTCCAAATTAAATCAGTTTTAGTTGGATTTGAATCTCATGTAAACGTGGCGACTGTGGCGTCACCGACTCGCTCCCTCTGCGTAATAAATAAAGCAAAAGACTAAAATCATCACGTGAACGCGTCAGAGGCGTCGCTATGACAACAGCGAGAGTCGTGTAAAGTTGTGGAGAGAGTAACGGGATTTTATTTCCTCTGAAAGTGGCTCAGTCTGGAAACCTGCAGCATCAAATCAGTGCAAATGGCGAGCAACGTAAAAGGGTCCAACGTAAAGGACCCGACGTAAAGAGTCCGACGTAAAGAGTCCGACGTAAAGAGTCCGACGTTGCACTTTTCTCTGATCTGTTCTAATGTGGTTTCCTCGTCACACACAGACCTGGAGTTGTGTTTTTTTGTTTCATTCACACATGTTTCACACACAAACCCTGCACATTTAGTCTTCTAGAGTTCTTCTCTCAAACTGAAAACGCTCGGGTCACCTCCCGTTTCCCCGTCACCGTGGCGACACCAGTCAGGTCCGAGGGCCTCTTTAAAAATCATCCAAATCATTCACAAAAGCTACACACGTCTGAAACGAAAACCGTCTTTCAGAGCTTCACTGCAACGAATACGGCTCCACCACAGACTGAGTAAAGAAGCGGACTGAGGGAGCGCCACCTCCCCGCCCACGGCTTCAGTCAAACGAAGCTCACTGAGGCTGGCGGTCATGGGGCAATAACAGATTACAATTTAGTCCTCGCTTTACTGGGGTGTAGCGGTTCGTGTATTTGTGCTGAACCGTTTCAGTTCAGTTTTGTGTAAATCTGGCTCAAAACTGGGTCTGTCCCGGGGAAACAGGGACGTCTGGTCGCCCTAATCAAAGAGTCAAGCAGGATCGAGGCTGTTAAAGACCAATGCTGGCGCCTTATTGGTCGATTATTAATGTTCATATTTTGATTTAGGAACAAAACAGCAAAATAAAAGCCCCAGGATCACAAAGGGTGCGGTCAGACCAACATTTTAAGACCAAAATGAGTCTGAAAGCAGCAGTTACAGAGACAGGGGCCACGCTTTTTCAATAGAAAGTGAACTGGAGCCAGAATCGATGGAGCCGGAAGCGCGCCCATGCTCACTTCCTATTTGTACCGCGGGTCTAGCGGGTTTAGCTCGGTCCGTTCATTTAAACGGTCTGTGGTGTCCGCGTGAGTTCAAATGTTTCCAGTTCATAATATCCGTCGGGTTTGAGAAGCTCGTTTAGAAGAGAATTACACTTAAAGTTTCATTGCGTAACTTTCCTGGCGGAGGGTCTGCCGGAGAAGTTATGTTGATGTTCCACAGGTCAACATCAAGCAAGTGCCAAGGTGAAGATCTGTGGAGAGGCGAGCCCTTGTGGTAAAAATGCGCACATTTTTGACCAATAAAAACACCCTGAAACAACGAAAATAAACTCTGAGAAATACGTTCACCCACATAATCTGGAACATTCTGCCAAAACATTCACATCTCCACGGAGACGAGCAGGCGGCAGACGCTCGGCCAGCAAAGTGACTCGGTGCGCTTTGGAAATATTTGAAGCCTCTTTCACTCGTTTTCACTTAAACCTGGGACTTTTCCTGCATTTTTCCAGAACTGGGTCACGTGTAAAACAAAACCACGGCTGATTTTCCTGCATTTCTGATCCGACAGTTTCCTTTAAAGGTTGTATGGAGGATTTTTTTTTTTGTTTCAAATTGTCGATGAAAGTTCAAAATAAAATTATAGCAGTGCAGCAGCCTTGTAATTATGATGACCAAAAAAAAAAAAAAAAGAATGAAAATCCATCAACTGTGGATGTGATGGGGGCAGATAAACATCAGCCAATAGAAAACAACGCTACCTCTTTTTCTATTGGCTGTTGGGTCGTCAATCAAACTCCCTACGTTTCTATTCGTCACTGAGTTGCCGGCGCGCTGGGATTATGTGGTTTACGTTTACCTCACGCACTGATGCTGTTTACTCAACCAACACAGCGGTTCTTAGCGTCTTTTTCGAACTGTAGTTTCCTCTCACACAAAGTTTTGCACAAAGTTTGTTGCGAAATTCACGACCAGTTCGCCACAAAAGAAAGTCTGTTTTTGACATCGCTGAAAGAAGAAGAGAAGGGGAAGAGGAGCGAAGCGCGACAATTGAAAATGGACAAACAGTCGCTGCATTTCTCTTTCCTTGGAAAAATCTTCTATACAACCTTTAAATAAACGGGAAAACGGGAAGTACCGCCTGTTGGTTTCCGTGGTTACGCCACATGATTATGCTCTGTTCTCATTATGTTTAAAAATGACGGACTTGTCTGTTCTCGGGTCTGTTGATCCTCTGCAGCTGATGTCAACAACGTTCCCTGGATAAGTGAGGCTAACCGTAGGCACTGCTCTGTCTGAAGTTCAACATGCTTCTATTTAAACTATATACCTCATTCTAAACTTACTTATACCTCGTTATAAAGCTCAGACTCTACATTATGTCCATTTAATCCAATTTACAGACACATAAATGTCCTCATGTGTCCTAATATCAGAGGAGTCTTTTGTCTGTGACGTCGTACTGCCCCTGAACACACCCCCAGAGTCACGTCACTCACATTCTTTTGTTTACAACTGCATCTGCTGTTTAGTCAGTCTGGCGCCCCCTAGTGCCTCCGCTCAGTTTCATTTCTCTCCAGCTCTAGGTCAGGAATCAAAAAACACTAGACGGTTCACAAAAACCCCGGAAGTGCGAGTCCGGGCACCAGCCGATCAAAGAAGAGACAGACATTCTGTGTCGGCAACGATTCCCGAGATCGAGGATTTAAAGCCGGAACAAAGAGAATGTTTGTTCTTGGCGTTATTTGCCCTTCATCTTATGGGATTTGGAGCATAACAGATATCACGCCCAAACAGCAGCGTTTGTTTAAATAAAAAAAGTCCCCACCTCCCGTCGAGCAAACGAATCCTAAAGCTGCGAGGTCTGAGTGAGTCAGGGTTAGGGTTACACGCAGGATTATATCTTTTCACAGACGATTGTTTTGAGTCAGGACACTTGTTAGTGCAGACTTGTGATCTGAGAGGAGCCCGTGAGAGGCTGAGTGCTGCAAATGTTTTGTTTTGAAGATACTTTTGGTTCTTTCTCGTTGTTTCGCTGCTGTAGCTCCACATAAACACTCTGTTTTCTTACGTTGTTCTAGTGTAAAGTGACTCTAGCGTGTGCACATGTGACTGAACCTGCACTGATGTGTGAATGATCCATATTTACACATATTATTAATTACCGCCGCGTGCACACGTTTACCACTAAAGGCTGATAGCGGTAGTTTTTACTTTCTTTACTGGTTAGAATGTGATGCAAAAATGCCATTATTCCGACCTGCCGTCTGTAAATATGACGTAAAGACGCAGAAGAACAGGAAATGTCGCTTAAACAATTTAAAACTCAGTAGAACCAGACCTAAGTTTTATTTACAGTGAGTTTTTACGTCACTAAATATATCGACTTTTATATCGGCTCTTCCAACATCCATTTTATCGTCGCAAAAAACTTCATATCGGTCGGGCCCCAATTTAGACATTTTTTAGTATCACTTTTCTGCCATGTCTTTTTTTTTTTTTTTTTTTTTTTTTTGCATTGCGATCGTCTACCTCGGTGTGTCTCTCGCTGTTCTTCGTTCCCATGTACGACATGTCCAAACATTTGCCTACAGCCTTGTTTCCTTCTTCAATCAGCTTAATATCATGTAACACCACAGAGTTGAAGGAAAGTATAATTGGCCGTCACGTTAATATTATTCATGTCGGAAAAGAGTAATGTTTGAAAAATAGTAAAGCTCGGCTATTCCGACAATTAGCGACATGTCGAAACAGCAGCATGAAACCGCTCTGTCTGACGCTTTCTTGGACTTTAATCCGACTTATCAATAACAAAAGGAAACCAAGCTCCTGATTAAACCAAGTGACTGTCCTGAAAAATATCTGGCTTTATTCACACATAAAAATAAATTAGCAGATCAGAAATGCCGGAAAATCGGCGTTGGCTTCGTTCACGCACGACCCCGTTCTGGAAAAATGCAGGAAAATTCCCAGGTCGGTCTGACTGTGTGAATGAGACGTACGTGCGAAGGACAAACCCAACGGAACAACAACTTGCTCAGTAGATTGTAATAGGTCAAATCTCTTCATAAATATTCTGAACGGTCATTTAAACTCACATCTTTTCCTCCCGTAAAGCTTTTTCGCAACGACCGGAAGTGTCCCGCTGTAGGTTTGTGGAACTTCCGGTTAATGGTTTTCAGTGTAAATGTGTGGTTTCCTCCAGCAGCTTCATAAATCTTCAACCAACAAACTCCACAAAGAACAAACATTCTTCATGAACAATTTATCCACAAGGATCAAGAGAAGAACGAACAAAACTTAAAGGAGTGGACTACTGAACAAAACGTTATGGTCACGAATAAAAGAGAAGAAATAAGTAATTCGTTTATAAGTAACTTGTTGACTGATTCTAGAATTAAAAACTAAAAATCCATGATGTGGATATTTGCACAGACAGATTTGTTCAGTTTTTCCGCTACAGATGTTCAGAAATGACACGTCTCGCATTTAAACTGCACAAATCTACATCCGTCTAAGCCACATCATGAAATCGATTTTTAATTTTAATAGTAAAATCAGCCTGAGTCATGATCGTAACATGAGTTTCCTTTAAGTTTTGCTCTTTCTTCTCTTGATCCTTGTGGATAAATTGTTCATGAAGAATGTTTATCCTTTTACACACATATTTACGCACACATTTTGCCACAGAAAATCATTAACCCGTAAGTTCCGCAAACCTACAGCGGGACACTTCAGACGATGTGAAAAAGTTCCATTGCACACGTGTTTACAGTATCAGACACAATGGCACTGAGAAAGAGCCAAAGAAAAACCACGAGAGCTGCACATCCTCGCGGTCGTTCGACAGGAAGAGTCCGGTCTTTAGAGCCAGTGCGTCAGCGGCGCACGGCGGAGCGTTCGGGGGCAAAAGCACTGCTCAAACTCATGACAACGTCTGGAAAAGTACAAGCTTCCGTAAAACGCAGCAGAGAAAAGAAAAAAAAAGAAAACCCCCACACAAAACAATCACACTTTACTTTCAGGAGCGGTTTAACCACAGACTGTGTTCACAAGTGGACTAAGGGACCGCGGCGTTCAGCTCCGGGCACATGAAGCAGAGTCGCATATTTGTAATTAATTTAATAATATAAAAATGTCACCGGGATCACGTAGAGCGAATATTTTAAGACCAAAACGAGGAGTCGATGGAGCCAGAAGCGCCGCCGTGCTCACTTTCCAGCGGGTCGTCCGTTTGTGTTTACAGTCTGTGGTTTCAGGCCACGTGCTTGTCCAAAATTTCCCGCAGTGTGGCATTAAAAGTGGAGGTACGCAGGTGTAACACGATCTGCACACAGTAAAATAACAAACGCCGGGTTTCAATGAAACGCTGGCCGCAGGTGGATGTTTTGATTCATAACCACCTGTTCCAAATAAACGCAGAGTCTAACGCAGTCGAGTCAATGGGTCAAACTCCCATTTCCCGTTGTTTTTGGGTTTTATTTAACAAAGACGTGATGATTCGTGCAGCGACACACAGAGAGTCTGATGTTTACAGCGACAGGAGCAGTTTGACTTCAGGTCGGTCCTGCCCGCACCAGTCTGGTCGTGTGACTCGGAGTGAATAGGCTCTATTCTCTGCCTCAGCTTCACTGAAAAACTGGAGGAACAGACGACGTCGCTGTGAAATCCCGATTTCAAAGTGACGTAAAAAAAAGAAAGATGGCGAAATGGAAGCAGTTTTTGGGAGTTTTGGTAAAATGACTCGAGTTTGGCGACTGGGAGGAAGCAGCGACGTGATCGTAGCTGATGCGGCGCAAGAGGAAAAGCAAAGGGGCCGAGGCGGAAGGAATCGAGTCCAAAAGGTCGACAAAGGAGTCGCCGGGACATCGTGTAAAAATTGTAAATTATCGTCAGACTGGTTAAAAATAATTCGAGAACCAGATTTTCCCAGTTTCCTCAGCAAGATTTTCATGAGGAAGGATTAATCTCCTGCCGCAAATCGTCGCCTGGTCTCAAATAAAAGCCTGGTCTGATAAGTGATTGAAACAAATAAACGCCCGGGAGATTATTTGGTATTTTACGGTGTACATGTTTTAGGCTGTGATTGAGGTTTAATGCCACACTGCGGCGCATTCAACTACGAGACGAGCATGTGGCAGAAAAGTTACACACTTCAGCTTTAAATGACCGCTCATAAACACAGTTTTCATACGGAAAACACGCCGTTAGCCTTCAGTAGCTGTGGCTTAAAGCTAAATAAAGACACAAATGTAGAAAATCCAGACTTTTTTTTGTAAGGCCCCTGAACATAACACGACGAGCTCAAGCCTCCATACCAGCAGGGGGCGCAGCGGGGACAGAAAAAGGCCTCAACACGCTCTCGGGTCGCATCCAGAACCTCACAACGTACCTCCTCAAAGACAAAGCCTCCTTCCTTCCGCCGCGTTTTCCACATTTGGTTTTTCACGATTTAAAGAAAAAAAAAAATCATTGAAGGACGTAGCGCTTCAGTCGGTGTCGTTTCTTTAATACTGTTTTTGAAATGTGGTAAACGTCTACGAAAAAGCGAAAGCGAACTTTACTTCGCCGAGTCATTGAGGAGGTATGTTGGGGGAATCGTACCCTCACGCAAACGCACAAACGCACACACAAACGCACACAGTGGATCTCCAGACCAGAACCATGGCACTTGGAGGACAGTTTAAAGTCCCAAAGAGAGAAGGAGGAAGAGGAGGAGGAGGAGGAGGAGGAGGTTGGGTCACTGCGTCGTGCTCTCCGTTCTCAGAGCTCCGATCACACTCTGGATGTTCTCCTCTGGAACCTGCAACAGATCAAACACCGGGTCAGGTCTGTGGAGTCGGGGCGCAGACACACAAATTATCCCGAACCAATGAGTTAAAAAAAAGTTAGACCAGCGTGACGTCGTCTCCATCGAACGCAAACGTACACAAAAACTATGTCAATCGTTCGCAGAAAGTTTGGTTTGTGCCATTTTAGTTTTGAAAATATTAACGATTCTTTTATTATTGGTCAAATTGGGGTCAGCAGCCTTCAGGAAAATGACAAATATAATGAAAAATGGAAAAATCGGAAATGAAATAACGGAAACAAATAAAACAACAAAACGGAGTCAGTCGTTTGTGCTGTAAAACATTTGGTTTGTGCGATTCTGGTTCTTAAGAGTTTTTCATTTTATTTTGGGCCGGTGCCGCCTGGTGCTTCCGATCAATTTCATTTTTCTCCAACTCGAGGTCAGGAATTAAAAAACACTCGACGGTTCGCAAGAATCCTGGAAATGTGAGTTCGGGCACCAGCCAATCAGAGGAGAGACAGACATTCTGTGTTGGCGACAATTCTCGATATCGAGGATTTAAAGGTGGAACAAAGAGAATGTTTGGTGAATGTTTTCAAGGGGAAAGACGTTATTGTTCTTCTTCCTACAGGATTTGGGAAAAGCTTAATATGGCAGTTAACCCCGTTAGTGGAGCTTTACAAACGTCACGACCAAACAGCAGCGATTGGTTCAATAAAAAAAGTCCCCGCCTCCTGTCAAGTGAATGAATCCTAATGCTGCAGGTCACACAGTTTCCACCAGGTGAAACCGACTGAAGATTGAGGCGATGACGTCGTCTCAAAACAGCAGCAAATTAAACCAAATGTTCGTATTTGGTTTGTGTTCTGTTTTCATTTGTCTAATTTTATGACTAAAATTCTTCATGATTATTTTTGTGTAAATTATATTTTGGTCGTTTCCGTTCAGTTGACGACAGCGACTTTAACAAAACTCCACAAAACTAATGAAGAGAAACGAGCTGAGGCTGTGGAAAAGTCTGGATCCGTCTGAAGGAACTGGATTTAGATTCAGATTTTCAGTAATAACACAGACTCGAGGTGTGTTGAGTCTGTTGTGTCTGTCGAGTCTGTCGAGTCTGTCGAGTCTGTCTGTTGTGTCTGTCGTGTCTGTCGAGTCTGTCGTGTCTGTCGTGTCTGTCGAGTCTGTGTCCGTTGTGTCTGTCTGTGTCTGTCGAGTCTGTCGAGTCTGTCGAGTCTGTCGAGTCTGTCGTGTCTGTCGTGTCTGTTGTGTCTGTTGAGTCTGTCTGTCGAGTCTGTCGAGTCTGTCGTGTCTGTTGTGTCTGTCGAGTCTGTCGTGTCTGTCTTGTCTGTCGAGTCTGTCTGTGTCGAGTCTGTCGAGTCTGTCGTGTCTGTCGTGTCTGTCGAGTCTGTCGTGTCTGTTGTGTCTGTTGTGTCTGTTGTCGAGGCGTGAGGGAGGAATGTCTCAAAATGACGTCACTTAGAGACAAAAGTAAAAACGAGATCCACCAATACAGATTCCACAAACAAAGTCAAGCATTTTAATTTAAAATCTCTAAAATATATTTACAAATACACATTTATTTAAACAAATTAGTTTATTTATTTGTACGTCATGCTTTTTATATTTGTATTTGGATATTTATAAACGTATGTATATTTATATATCATTTTTTATTTGTATAAATCTTTTTGAGACAATCTCCATATGAAGATGGTTCCAAGTCCTGAGTTGGTCTATAACGGCTTTTCTAAATAAAAGCACTGGTTTTGTAGTGTTTTTGTGCTGTTTTTGCGGTGTTTTTGTAGTGTTTTTGTTGTGGTGTTTTTGTGGTGGTTTTGTGTAGTTTTGTGGTGTTTTTTGTAGTTTTGTGGTGTTTTTCTGGTGTTTTTGCTGTAGTTTTGTGGTGTTTTTTGTGGTGTTTTTGTGGTTTTTGTGGTGTTTTTGTGGTGGTTTTGCTGTGTTTTTGTAGTGTTTTTGCGGTGTTTTGCGGTGGTTTTGCGGTGGTTTTCTGTAGTATTTTTCGCAGTGGCTGTGGGTGCGATTCTCACCAGCGCGTGGTCGAACTTGAATGTGCTGATGTAATAGGCTGGAATGTCGGCAGTGGCCAAAGGCTCCGAGATCTGAGCCACGATCCCACACTCGTCTGAAACACAAACACACACTTCAGACATTTAATATTTACATTTACTCACTTCTGGACTTGAACACGACCAGTCCTGAAGTAAAAGTACAGTACTGAAGTAAAAAAGGTGTCTGTACTTTTACTTTTACTTCAGTACATTTTAGAACAAGACTGAAAAGTAAAAGTATTTTTGATGATAATGTGAGATCTGCTGAAAAGGCTGAGGGTTTATTTGAACACATTTGGAGTTTGAGCAACAGAAAAGTACAAGTCAAAACAGCTGGAAAAAAAAAAAAAACTAAAACAATTTCTTTTGGGTTAGAACTGGTTACTAAACCAGGACTAAACCAGGACTAAACCAGGACTAAACAAGGACTAAACCAGGACTAAACCAGGACTAAACAAGGACTAAACCAGGACTAAACCAGGACTAAACCAGGACTAAACCAGGAAACCAGGAAACCAGGACTAAACCAGGACTAAACCAGGACTAAACCAGGACTAAACCAGGACTAAACAAGGACTAAACCAGGAAACCAGGAAACCAGGACTAAACCAGGAAACCACTAAACCAGGACTAAACCAGGAAACCAGGAAACCAGGACTAAACCAGGACTAAACCAGGACTAAACCAGGACTAAACAAGGACTAAACCAGGACTAAACAGGACTAAACCAGGACTAAACCAGGACTAAACCAGGACTAAACCAGGACTAAACCAGGACTAAACCAGGACTAAACCAGGACTAAACCAAGGACTAAACCAGGACTAAACAGGACTAAACAAGGACTAAACCAGGACTAAACAAGGACTAAACCAGGACTAAACTAGGACGAAACCAGGACTAAACCAGGTCTGAATTAGGACTAAACCAGGACTGTACTGGGACTGAAACAGGACCAAATCAAGACCGAATAGGGTCTGGACCAGTACTAAACCGGGACTGAACCAGGACTGTGAACCAGGACCAAACAAAGACTGAATCAAGACCGAATCGGGACTGAACTAAACTAGAACTAAACAAGGACTAAACCGGGACTGAATCAAAACATAAAACCTGGACTACATTATTATCTTAGCACTTATTCTTGACACATCTGAAAAAGTGCAAAAAAGTACTAAAAAGTGCAAATAAAAAAAAAAATAAAAGCACTTTTGTTTTAGATTTTATTTATAAAATCTTAAACATGAGTGTAGTTATTTTGAGTTTGAGTCCATTCGTAGTTTGGATGTTTCAGTTCCAGTCGACCGTGAAAATAACCACGGAAATAAAGAAGAAGCACAGATGAAAAAGTGTGTCCAGACTCGGAGCAGAGTCTGTCAGGAGGAATGACACTGTGGACTCTGGTTTCATGTTGGAACACTCAGACCTGAGGCAGACCTGAGGCTGACCTGAGGCGCGGCTGGACTCCAGCGCGGCTCCGTTTACACATTCTTTTTTAAGCCTCAGTGTCGGGGGTGTAACTGACCCTTTTGGTGCTTTTGACAGGCGGCTCACGACCACACGAGCTCAGGTCAGGGGATCGAAAAACAACAAGTCCAAACTCTAGAACGGACACGACTGACCCGAACAGGAAGTGAACACGGGCGCACTTCCGGCTCCAACTCACGTTCTACTGAAAAAACATCACCTCTCTGTACCTGCTGCTTCAGACTCGTCTTTTTGGTCTTTAAATGTTCGTATTAACACAGGATCCTGGTCTCTCCCGTCGTCATTAGCAACAGTTTTTTATTGACGGTTTTACACCAAACGCCAAGTGCCCGACATAGATGTACAGGGTGTCCCAAAAAAACGGACATTTTGCAGGCCAATAATTTTGGCGAAAGAGTTTCCTCTGCAGGTTGGCCGGGCGCCGTCTTAGACAGGGTGAGGGGCTCAGTCAGGAGTGAGGAGTGAGGAGTAGAGCCGCTGCTCGGGCGTCTGTTCTGATGCCTCCTGGGCGCCTCAGTCTGGGAGTCCCTGCTTAGACTGACGCCCCCACGACCCGGCCCCAGATAAATGGAAGAAAATGGATGGATAATTTTGGTAATTTTTGCTGAAATATCCTCAAATTTTCACAGAATGTTTAGAAACAGAACTGTATGTCGTCTCTAAAGGTCCCATGTCACATTATCTGACCCCTGTGAGCTTTAAGTCATGTTCTGTTATTATCTATTATTAGTCTGTTTACATCAGACATGTCAAACTCAGGCCCAGGGGCCAAATGTGGCCCTGATATAATTCTGTTTGGTCCGTGAGATCATGTCAAACATGTATCAGAGCTGCAGCTGCACACAGACCACAGAGACAGGATTTATTTAAACTGTTATTATTTTATTTTCTGTTTGTTCTGGATTCAATGTTTAAGCAAAACTTTTATTAAACTTTTATTTGAATCAGAAAAGATTTAACATCACAGATCTTCAAAGAAGAAAAAACCTGCAGATGATGGTGAAATTTTTCAATAAATGTTTAGTTTGGCCCACGACTTAGTCCCAGTTTTTAATTTGGCCTCTGAGTTTGAGTTTGACTCTCCTGATCTACATCTCCAAAACTCAAAATGCTCTGTTCCACCTTGTGATGTCACAAAGCGGCTGAAATTATCCAAATTCTTGCAGTTTGACGGAGCAGCTCTGAATTTCATTATACCGTGTAACTGTGTTCTATTCTATTCAAATGAAGGTGTGTGGAGTTTAAAAACACAGTGGAGCACTTGCTGTATTACCACATGACATCACAAGGTGGAACAGAGTGTTTTCAGTCTGGGAGAAGAACTTGTGCTAAACATGCAGGTTTGTAAATGAAATAAAACACGACTCCAGGTCTGTGACGAGTAAAACGTCATTAGAGCAAATCAGAAAATTGTGTGAAATGAGAAATTTAAAATAAAAAAATGTCGTTTTCTTACCGAATCCTAAAGGCTGCCCCCCGATCCGCACCATCTTCCACAGCTCCCCGGACGCGCTGGTGAACAGGACGTTATTGGGAAACCTGGAGGAGCAAACGCAGGTGTGGATGAGCCGCACAGAGGCTCCTGAGACTTTAAAAACGCGGAGGAGCGACGTACCTGTGCGCGACCTCCTCGTCCATCACCAGCGAGATGTATCCCTCGATCAGCGAGAAGGAGAAGAAGCGGATTCTGGAGGCGTCGTCCGGACACGCGCCGCCGTCTTTGGGACTGACACACACAAAAAAAACAGACGCGTCACATCTCACAGCAGAGCGGCAACGCAACGGAGCACTTCCTGTATCAGCACGCGACATCTCTACTCTCTGTTCCAACGTGGTTTCCTCGTCACACACACACACCTGGACTCCTGTTTTGTTTCGTTCACATGTTTAAGGCACAAACCTGCACATTTAACACGAGCTTTTCTCTCAAACTGAAAACACTCTTCTACCTTATGTAATACAGGAAGTGCTCCACTGTGTTTTTAAACTCCACACACCTTCACTAGAATCTTTTGGATGATATGAATTGGAACTCTGCTGAACTAGAGACTCAAAAGCCGGGGCGACTCTCGGGGTCAGGTGAAAGTTTACAGGCCGTGGTCAGGTGTGAGTGGACGGGGTGTGGTCAGGTGTGAGTGGACGGGGCGTGGGGCGTGTCAGGTCAGGTAAGTGGACGGGCGTGGGGGCGTGGTCAGGTGTGAGAGTGGACGGGGGGGTCGTGAGAGTGGGGGCGTGGTCAGGTGTAAGTGGACAGGCGGTCAGATGTGAGTGGACGGGGTGCGGTCAGTCAGGTGAGAGTGGACGGGGCGCGGTCAGGTGAGAGTGGACGGGGCGTGGTCAGGTGAGAGTGGACGGGGCGTGGTCAGGTGAGAGTGGACGGGGTGTGGTCAGGTGAGAGTACGGGGCGTGGTCAGGTGAGAGTGGACGGGGTCAGGTGGGTGGACGGCGTGTGGAGACCGACCTGCCGGAGTAGAACATGAGGTCCATGAGCAGCGTGGCCACCGGGGGCAGTGTGTCGGGGTCCAGGCTCGTCACACAGAACAGGTTGGAGGGGCTGGAGAGCGGGTGGATCACCGGCCGAGGAGCTGCGACCCAAACACACGTCATCAACATCATCGTCATCATCATCATCATCACTGAGAGGAGTCCAAACAGTACAGGGACACTCAGGTCACTCGGCAGCTCAGGTCATTCACAGTCTCTGGGGGTGTAACTGGAGGCTCTGCTCCGTCTGAATCTCTGAATCGAGTTAGACTTTAATCTGAGGTTTATTTTAACACAATCTGACCTGACTGACCTGAGCTCCAACAGGTGAGAGGACCTGAGCTTTAAACACCTCCCTCTGAAGAACAAGACAGTCACAAACTAGTGTTAGCGTTAGCATCAGCCAACAGTTTTTCAGTGAGTCAAGGTCCGTTCAGACTCGAGCGTCAAAGCGTCAAGGTGAGAATCTGGTGTCAACGGGGCCTCGGGGCTCAGGAGTCGACTGTCTGGACGCGCGTCCAGGGCGTCAGCATCAGAAGGTGGAAATGCTGAACTTTTGGCGTCTGATGCGATGCGGGGACCAATCGGGGACGACTATCCACAGACGCAACAACGTTATTATATAGAAGAAGAAGAAAGACCCGGAACCACAAACATTAGCAGAGTATAAATATATACACACCCCAACCACCAATCGTCAGGACTGAACCAGGACCGGACCAGGACCGGACCAGGACCGGACCAGGACCGGACCAGGACCGGACCAGTGTCATTAGTGGAGTACACATATATTCATATCGCAGTTGTCAAGTCGATCTCGTGCTCCAATGGTTTTATGTAAAAACACTAAAGTCTCTCAGTCTGGTCCATCGTTTTGGGAAAAGACGGAAAATGTCTCTTGTTTCCAGAGCAGCCGACGCTCTGGACACGCCTCAAGTATTTTTCTCCCGTTCGTCCACAGAGGAACTCGAACACAAAGGCTCCGACTAGAGGCGCCGGCGTGTTTCTGGACACTCTGGTCTGAACGGACGTCACGCTCACCTTTTAGTGTCGAACCAAACTCCTGAACATGAGCATGAGCATGAACATGAACATGAACGTGAACGTGAGAACATGAACATGAACATGAACATGAACATGAACATGAACATGAACAGGAACGTGAACGTGAACATGAACATGAACATGAACGTGAGCATGAACGTGAACGTGAACATGAGCATGAGCATGAGCATGAACATGAGCATGAACATGAACATGAACATGAACATGAACGTGAACATGAACATGAACGTGAACATGAACATGAACATGAAGATGAGCATGAGCATGAGCATGAGCATGAACATGAACATGAGCATGAATGTGAACGTGAGTGAACGTGAACATGAGCATGAACGTGAACATGAACAATCCGAGCAGAAGGAAGTGCAAACGTGCTCTTTAAATCACTTCGGTATTTAGTTCAAAGAATCTTAAAACTTTTTTTTTTACAGTTTCCACGGTTACATGAGAGCTTTAATTCCGAATAAAAATGATTTAATTCTGAATAAAAATTTATTACACCTTAAAAAAAAAACAGCTAAACACTAATTCCCAATGAAAATGATGATTCGAAATTAAGGCATCTCCATGTTTAACGACAGAAAAGCCGGGAGCAGCTGAAGTGTAATAAATAAAAACAATTTAATTTAATCAATTCTGAGTTATTATTTCCATCTAAACTCCAAGCAGAATATTTTAACTCAGAACATTTTCATTCAGAATTAAAACACCTCATGTAAACATGGCCCGTGTTTGCTGTTGTCACTGTGGTAACATCAGAAACATTCCACCATAGACAGACATGTAGAACCCCCCCGGCGTGATGCCCCTGCACAGTCTCAGTATCTTCACCGTTTTTGGCTTCAGTACCGAGTTTGGGTTTGTCGAAGCCGTTGGTGACGCCGAGGAGCGCGGCGGCGACCGTCTCTCCGTTGACCACGCGGAACAGCGTGAACTCGGACGACAGCGTGTGCATGACCATGGGCAGGTCGCGCTCCCGCACCTGTCCACAAGGAGGCAGAGCAGAGGCAGAGCACAGGCAGGTGAAAGGAGCGACAGGGGCAGGGTCTGGGCGCACCTGCCTGAAGTCGCCCCGTCAAACACAAAAAGACACAAAAAGAATGAGAATCGTTTGTGCTGCAGAGAGTTTGGTTTGTGTCGTTTTAGTTTTGGAGATGTTAACGATTCTTTTATAGGTCAAGTTGGGGAAGTTTCAAAATGCTCTGGGGGGGGGGGGGGGGGGGGGGGGTCGCCTTATCACAATTTGCATGTGGGTCTGTAATCCAAGTGTCGTTCGTTCATTTGTTTTTCAATATAAAACCAAAAATAAGAAAACAAAAAAACAACAGTTTTCTTCGTTATTTGTCTCCAAAACCAAAATGAAAAAACAGATAACGATTTGTTTTTTCAGTTTTCGATTTTGTGTTTAAATGAAGAATGGAAAAAGCAGATAACGGTCGTTTACGTGACTCCCGTGACTGTGATGCCAAACTTTTGCACTGCATACAGACTGAATCAGGACTGATCCAGGTCCGGGACTGAGACCAGGACCAGACCGGAGGCTCAGAGCCCACGGCAGGACTGGAGCTCGAAGCTGAGGCTCGGACCCCGCGGAGGCTCAGAGTCAAAGCTCGGAGTCACTCTGGTCCCGCCCTGGTCCCGCCCTGGTCCCGCCCTGGTCCCGCCCTGGGTCAGTCCTGGTTCAGTCCGTATGCGGCGCAAAATTTCGGCATCACAGTCACGGGAGTCACGTAAACGACCGTTATCTGCTTTATCCATTCTTCATTTAAACACAAAATCAAAAACTGAAAAAACAAATCGTTATCTGTTTTTTCATTTTGTTTTTGGAGACAAATAATGAAGAAAACTGTTGTTTTTTTTGTTTTCTTATTTTTGGTTTTATATTGAAAAACGAATGACACACGGATTGTCTGTTGGAATGTTCAGACATCTATTTGTAATTATTTTATTGACTGTTTTGTCCCAATATTTCTGGTTCAGTTGAATGTTGAAAAGAAAAAGAAATGTGCTACATTTAAAGTCCAAACAGGCGACGTCTGGATCCTTTTATTGCTGCTTCAGTGTTTTTCATCGTTTCAAACTTGAGTAATAATAAAATATTTGTTCAGAGACACGATCAGTGAGTCGACAATAAAATATCCTCGTTAATGTTCAATAATGAAAAAATCCACCTTTATTTTGTGATTTATGAATAATGTTTATGGACTCGGGTCGCAAAGGTTTTTGACTTTTAAAATGTGGGCCCCCGGAAAAAAAGTTTAGAAAACACTGAAACGCCCAAAATGGAGTCAGTCTTTTCTGCAGCACAAACAAAGCACAAAGTTTAGTTCTGATTCTTAAGATATTTGCAGTTTTATTTTGGGTGGATGACGTCGTCCAGCCCGTCAAAATGTAAAACAGCCTCAAAACAGCTGAAAATTATAAAAAAAAGTGCTGTGGCTGTTTTCATTTGTGCGAGATCATTTCTAAAATTATTCATTATTATTTTTGTGTAAATTATATGAGGTAATTTCTGCTCAAGTGACGACTTTAACAAAACTCCACAAAACTAATGAAGAGAAACGACCTGAGTTTATTGATTCACATTTTGCCGCAAAACAAAAACAAAAGACGAACTCCAGCCCCGTGGATCATGACCGAAAGAGTTTAAAGTTAAAGTTCTTCTAACACCAAACTCTGTTAAACAACGACAGAATTCCAAGAAAGAAAAGCAGCGTCTGAACACAAGTTTGAGTTTATAATTTCACTCACGACACTGTAAATATAATGCAGATTGTATAACACTTAAAACTTTTTTTTTTAAAGGTTCTACAGTGTTAAACACGGAGAAGTGGAAAGGAATTGTCTAAAATGTTTCGTGAGATTAGAGCACGTCCGGAAGTTTAGGCTCTTTAAAATGTTTTTATTAACGTCAAATCAAATCTTCAGCACAAATGATGAATGACAGACAAACATGAATCATTTGTATATTTTACTTTACACTCAGATTTAGTTTGTGGGACTGAAGTTTATCATCCCGCCTGCTCACGCAACGTGCAGCTGCATGCACTTATTTACACTGATCACTTTATTTACGTCTAGCACTTTAGTTACGTCGGACACTTTATTTATTTACGTTATTTACGTCGGACACTTTATTTACGTCAGACATTTTATTTACGTCGGGCACTTTATTTATTTATGTCGGACACTTTATTTATTTACGTCGGACACTTTATTTACGTCGGTCACTTTATTTACGTCGGACACTATTTATTTACGTCGGACACTTTAGTTACGTCGGGCACTTTATTTATTTATTTACGTCGGGCACTTTATTTATTTACGTCGGACACTTTATTTACGTCGGACACTTTATTTACGTCGGGCACTTTATTTATTTAGTTACGTCGGGGCGCTTTAGTTACGTCGGGCACTTTAGTTACGTCGGGCACTTTAGTTACGTCGGGCACTTTATTTATTTACGTCGGACACTTTATTTATTTACGTCGGACACTTTATTTACGTCGGACACTTTATTTATTTACGTCAGACACTTTATTTACGTCAGACACTTTACGTCGGGCACTTTATGTCATATAAACATTCATTCATTCATGTTGGTCACTTTACATCGGGCACTTTATTTACGTCGGACACTTTATTTACGTCAGAAAAAAAGTGCGATCTAGAGTCCGAAAATCACGATAATAATAATAAAGAACAGTTAATTTGGACTTAAAAAACATGACGTAAACGTGGCCCTGGACTCTCGAGAGAACAGCTCCTTTTACCGTTAGTTCCGTGGTGATCGTCGAGTGTTTTTTTGCGTTAAACGTGCGAACGAACGAAACAAAACGACGTCAGAACAGAGTGGAGAGAAGCGCTCGACCCGGAGAGACTCACCAGGATGTAGTCCGTCTGGTACGTGGACAGCATGAACACGGAGATGTTGTGGTCGGCGAGCGGCGCGATGACGGACTTGGCGATTTTGGTGACTCCGATGGGCTGAGCGCTGGACGCGTTCCCGCCGCCCGACACCACGTTCAGCGCCAACCACGTGGCCTCGGCGACGCTCATGTGCTCCGTCTGCGGCAGCTCTGACGGGACAACGGCAAAACACCCAACGTCAGAACAAAACCAGAAACTAAACCAGAACCTCGTGGTCCTCGAGTCTGGAGCCTGAAAAAAGAGGCCCATTTTCAGGACCGAGCAGAACCTGTAGAACCTGTAGAACCTGTAGAACCTTTAGAACCTGTAGAACCTTTAGAACCTTTAGAACCTGTAGAACCTTTAGAACCTGTAGAACCTGTAGAACCTTTAGAACGATCTGGAGCTGGAGCAGAACAATTATAAGACACAGAGACTAAAATACACACATGGACCTGGTTCAGTCCTGGTTCAGTCCTAGTATAGTCCTATTTTAGTCCTGGTTTAGACCTGGTTCAGTCCCAGTTTAGACCTAGGTTAGTCCTGATTTGGTTCAGCCCTGGTTCAGCCCTGGTTTTAGCCCTGGTTTTAGACCTGGTTTAGACCTGGTTTAGTCCTGGTTTAGTCCTAGTTTAATCCTAGTTTAGTCCTGGTTTAGTCCTGGTTTTAGTCCTAGTTTAATCCTAGTTTAGTCCTGGTTTAGACCTGGTTTAGTCCTAGTTTAATCCTGGTTCAGACTTAGTTTAGACCTGGTTTAGTCCTGGTTTAGTCCTGGTTTAGTCCTGGTTTAGACCTGGTTTAGTCCTGGTTTAGACCTGGTTTAGACCTGGTTTAGTCCTGGTGACCTGGTTTAGACCTAGTTTAGACCTGGTTTTTAGACCTGGTTTAGCCTGGTTTAGTCCTGGTTTAGTCCTGGTTTTAGACCTGGTTTAGTCCTGGTTTAGACCTGGTTTAGACCTGGTTTAGACCTGGTTTAGACCTGGTTTAGACCTGGTTTAGTCCTGGTTTAGTCCTGGTTTAGTCCTGGTTTTAGACCTGGTTTAGACCTGGTTTTAGTCCTGGTTTTAGTCCTGGTTTTAGACCTGGTTTTAGACCTGGTTTAGACCTGGTTTTAGTCCTGGTTTTAGTCCTAGTTTTAGACCTGGTTTTAGACCTGGTTTAGACCTGGTTTAGTCCTGGTTTAGACCTGGTTTAGTCCTGGTTCAGTCCTGGTTTTAGACCTAGTTTAGTCCTAGTTTAATCCTGGTTCAGACTTAGTTTAGACCTGGTTTAGACCTGGTTTAGTCCTGGTTTTAGACCTGGTTTAGACCTGGTTTAGACCTGGTTTAGACCTGGTTTAGACCTGGTTTAGTCCTGGTTTAGTCCTGGTTTTAGTCCTGGTTTTAGACCTGGTTTAGTCCTGGTTTAGACCTGGTTTAGTCCTGGTTTAGACCTGGTTTAGTCCTGGTTTAGAAACAGATTTCAGTCACACGTGAACAGAAAATAAAGTTCTACAAATTAAAGTGGAAAATCACAGATCATCTAAAGAGAGTTTTTATTTTCATCGTAGGATCAGAATCGGTATCAAGTATCGAGTATCGAGTATCGAGTTTATTCCTTAGTATAGTTTTTTTCAGTATTTTTTGACAAACGTGTATTTTTTTTTGTCTCTTGAGGTCAAAATAAATCCGCTGTGTCCCGTCTGCCTCTGACCACAAGTACATAATTCCAATGATCAGGAAGTGCGCGTTAGCATGCTAGTCATCGTTAAAATTACAGTGACGACAAAAACTCGGCTCTGGTCTGTGAGAGTCGAGAAAAGTGTTTAGAAACTCGTCATGAGGAGCAAAAACCAATCGACGTTTTGGAGACAAATAATGAAGAAAATAGTTGGGGTCTTTTTTGTTTTTTCGTTTTCTTTCGTTTTCGTTTTATTTTGAAAAACGGACGACGCGCTTCCTCCCGGTGGCGTTGGGGTCGCGGGCGGCGTCCTGCTGCCCCGGGGCTGTTGCCGTGGAGACGGAGGCGGACGAGCCGGAGAAGAACAAACACCAGAGCAGGTCAGGAGCTGTTGTCCGGCAGCCGAGGAGAGACCGACCCAGAAACCACTTTACACCAACGCGTAAAAAAAAAAAAAAAAAAAGGAACCACTTTACATGAATAAAAACGTTAAAAAACAAAACAAAACAACTTTACACGAATAAAAACAAGAAACGACTTTACACGAACAAAAACGTTTTTTTTTTTAAAAGACTTTACATGAATAAAAAATGTTTAAAAAAAGAAAAAAACGACTTTACACGAATAAAAACGTTTAAAAAACAAACAAACAAAAAAACGACTTTACACGAATAAAAACGTTTTTTTTTAAAAATGACTTTACATGAATAAAAAATGTTTAAAAAAAGAAAAAAAAATGACTTTACACAAATAAAAATGTTTTTAAAAAAAAGAAACAACTTTACATGAATAAAAAACTAAAAAAAAAAAAAAAAAAAAAAGGACTTTACACGAATAAAAACGTAAAAAAAAGAAAGGACTTTACACAAATCAAAACGTTTAAAAAAAAAAACTTTACACGAATAAAAACGTTTTTTAAAAGTCTTGGTTTGGTCCTGATTTAGAACTAAATCATTTGAAACAGTAATATTAACAACTAGCATGCTGATGTGCACTTCCGGATGATCTGACCTCCAAAGCTGCGTCTGTACTATTGTGGAAGAAAATTTGTTCCATCAGATTTTGAATTTTAAATCCTGCTGAATCTCTCACTTTCACTTTTTTTAATTCTGAAAAAACATGTTTGAATTATTTTTATTCTGGATTTTTGTCACTGAAATTTTCTCTGTATTTTTTCAACTTGTTTAAAATTCCATATTAAAAAAAAAAAAAACACCTTAAATTGATTTTTTTTTTTTTCACTGCGATTTTTACACTCTGAATTTTACACTGTTGAATTTGAGGGTTGAAAATATTTGCGCTTTTGATTGTGAACAGACTCGACTCTGGTCACATGAGCTCAGGTCGTGTACGAGTTTACGTCACAAACAAACCGTTTAATTCCGAATAATAATTTTCATCAGGAGTTAAATGTTTACGTGGACTTTTTAAAAGGAGAATTCATTTTGATTCACAATTTAATTATTTTTATTCTGGATTAAAACGTGGTTAGAGTTTCTCAAACATGTGAATGAAACAAAACACAACTCCAGAATCTGTTTGTCGTTTGTTCGTTTGTTTTTCAAAATAAAACCAAAAATAAGAAAATGAAAAAAAAAATAAAAAATTTTCTTCATTGTTTGTCTCCAAAACCAAAATGAAAAAACAGATGATTCGATTTTTTTCAGTTTTCGATTTTGTGTTTAAATTAAAAATGGAAAAAAATTGATAACGGACTGAACCAGGTCCAGGACCAGACCGAGACCGGGACTGAGACCGGGACTGAGACTGGGACTGAGACTGAGACTGGGACTGAGACTGGGACTCAGACCGGGACTGGGACTGGGATTGAGACCGGAACTGAGACTCAGACCGAGACTGAGACCGGGACTGAGACCGAGACCGGGACCAGACCGGGACTGAGGTTGGGACTGAAAACGGTTCAGCTCTGGTTTAGTCCAGGTTCAGTCCTGGTTGAGTCTTGGTTGAGTCCTTTATCCGTTTTTTCCATTTATAATTTAAACACAAAATCAAAAACTAAAAACTGAAAAAAACGAATCTTTATCTGTTTTTTTTTTTCATTTTGGTTTTGGAAACAAATAATGAAGAAAATGTTTTATTTTTTTTGGTTTTATTTTGAAAAACGAATGAACGAACGACACACAGATTCTCCAGCTCCAGTGTGACGAGGAACATGAGAACATCAGAACATCAGAACATTAGAACATTAGAACATCAGAACATTAGAACATTAGAACGTGGTTTTGTGCGATTTGTTTTAACTCTGGTCGTGTTGGACCTGAGTGGATTTTCGAGTCTCACCTTTGAATCCTTCTTCGTCCACGATGATGGTGAAATCCTCCGGAGTCTCCGTCAAACTGAAGAACTTACACCTGCAACAAAAAACCACACTCAGACCAGGACCAGGACCAGGACCAGGACCAGGACCAGGACCAGGGCTAAACCAGGACCAGGACCAAGACCAGGACCAAGACCAGGACCAAGGACCAGGACCAGGACCAAGACCAGGACCAGGACCAGGACCAGGACCAAGACCAGGACCAGGACCAAGACCAGGACCAGGACCAGGACCAAGGACCAAGACCAAGACCAAGACCAGACCAGGACCAAGACCAAGGACCACCAGGACCAAGACCAAGACCACCAGACCACCAGAACCAGGACCAGGACCAAGGCCAAGACCAGGACCAGGACCAGGACCACCAGGACCAAGACCAAGACCAAGACCAAGACCAGGGACCAAGACCAAGACCAGGACCAAGACCAGGACCAAGACCAAGGACCAAGGACCAAGGACCACCAGACCAGACCAGGACCAGGACCAGACCAGGACCAAGACCAGGACCAGGACCAGGACCAGCCAGGACCAAGACCAGGACCAGGACCAAGGACCAAGACCAAGACCACCAGACCAAGGACCAAGACCAGGACCAGGACCAGCCAAGACCAGGACCAGGACCAAGACCAGGACCAGGACCAGACCAAGACCAGGACCAGACCAGGACCAGGACCAAGACCAGGACCAAGACCAAGACCAAGACCAGACCAAGACCAAGACCAGGACCAAGACCAGGACCAAGACCAAGACCAGGACCAGGACCAGGACCAAGACCAGGACCAGACCAGGACCAGAGTCCAGACCAAGACCAGGACCAGGACCAAGACCAGACCAAGGACCAGACCAGACCAGACCAGGACCAGGACCAAGACCAGGACCAGGACCAAGGACCAAGACCAGGACCAAGACCAAGACCAAGACCAAGACCAAGACCAGGACCAGGACCAAGACCAAGACCAGGACCAGGACCAGGACCAGACCAAGGACCAAGACCAAGACCAAGACCAAGGACCAAGACCAGGACCAGGACCAGGACCACCAGACCAAGACCAAGACCAGGACCAAGACCAAGACCAGGACCAGACCAGACCAAGACCAGACCAAGACCAGGACCAAGACCAGGACCAAGACCAAGACCAAGACCACCAGACCAGACCAGACCAAGACCAGGACCAGGACCAGGACCAGGACAATAATGTCAGAATAACCTGATAAAAGTTTTAAAATACAGAGTCCAAACTGTAAAAAACTAAATCTAGTCAAGTTAAAACGACTTGAATTAAGAAAATTTCATCATGATTTGAGTAAATTTCACTTGAAAAGTGAAATGATCTGCAGAGGAACAAGACTTTTTGTACTTAAAATATAAAAATACAACTTTATGAACTTAAAATAAGAAAAATAACAACTTTTTGTACTAAAAATATGAAACAAAATCAAATGTTGCTTGAATTAATAAAAACTCTTGTTCCATTGGTCGATAATTTCACTTTTCAAGTTGAATTGACTCAAATAAAATCAAATGTTTAAGTCATTTTAATTTACCTGGATGTTGTTTTTTTCAGTAAACACACTACAAATTTCTCTGATCTGACCAAGATTTTAAAAATTCTTCATGTTGTTTTCAGATTTATTTTTTCTCACTCGTTCTGAGTCGTTTATTTTGTTTTATAGCAGAAGTAAAATGATCTTTCTTGTACTTAAAATAAGAAAAATAACAACTTTTTGTACTAAAAACACGAAACAAAATCAGATGTCGGTTGAATTAATAAAAACTCTTGTTCCATTGGTCGATAATTTCACTTTTCAAGTTGAATCGACTCAAATCACGTCAAATGTTTTAAATTTAAGTCGTTTTCATTTCCGTACATGTTGTTTTTGTCCAGTGCATTTTCTACTTCACTATTTTTGGTCTGTTTTTGCTGCTGTCTTAAAGTCACAGCGCGTAAAACTCGGCCTACACTTCACACTTCCACACTTCCACACTTCACACTTCCACACTTCCACACTTCCACACTTCTGCACTTCTGCACTTCTGCTTCAGCTTCGGCCTGTTTTTCTAACGCGAAGCACCGCTCTGTCTGGACCCGAGCAACAGCAGAAGAAGAAGAAGAAGAAGAAGAAGAAGAAGAAGCAGCGACATAAACAAGCTCCGTGCCCCCCCCTTCCCCTTCCCCTTGCGCCCGGCCGCAGCGCCTCAGCCCCGGGTCCGGTCCGCGCCTCGGGTCCGCGCCGCCGCCGCCGGGTCCGTACCTGGTCCTGGACGAGAGGAAGGCGAGCTTGACGAGTCCGTGCGTGCAGACCTGGATGCCCTCCCGCTCGATGCTCGCCACTTTCAGCCTGTGCTCGAGAATGTGCAGCTCCATCGTTTCCGTCTGCGCATTTGACGCTCGGGGGTGACGCACGGCGGGGGGGTTCAGAGCGCGCGCGCGGCTGGAGACATGGACACGCGCGGTGGGAGGGGGGGGCACGAGGAGAAAAAAAACCCCGAGGAGACGAGACCCGGACCCGGACCCAGACCTGGACCTGGACCTGGAGCTGCCGCTGTCACAGGCTCCACGGAAGCAGCCGCACTTCTGCCCCGCGGACCTTCACAATAAAAGCACCGCGAGAAAAAAAACCTGCGTTATTTTACAAATTGAAATTTAATTTTTAAACACAAAAACCGTTTCCAAAGTGCTGCACAAACATCAGAAAATGAACACAACAAAAAAGTAAATTGGAAAAAATGTGTTCACACCAGTTTGGGGCTGATCAGATTTTCAAAATAAAAAACTGGGACGTTTCCGGTTTTTTTTTTTTTTTTTTTTTTTTTTTTTGGTGTTTTTTTTTTGTTTGTTTGTTTGTTTTCCCCAATATTATAATTAAATTAAAACTTTCACATGAACAACTGACCACGTTATTAACACAGGTCAACATACAACCGAAAAAATAAAATAAAATAAAAATAATAACAAACCAATTCACACACTCACACACTCGTACACATTCACATATTCACTAAACAATATTTGCACAATACAATTTATCAGTCGCCGGTAAGTCTGAGATTTATATTCAGTGACCAAATGTACTTAAAAAAAATAAAAATAAAAAGAAAGAAAACTGGAGAAAAATAAATATTTTTGGTGGTTGTTAATAATAAAACTGTTTTGAGACGAACATGAGTCAGAATAATCACTTTTTAAAATATGAAAATACATTTTGCCGCACTTAAAATAAGAAACAAAATAAAACTTTTTGTACTTAAAATAAGAAACAAAATCGAATGTTTCTTGAATTTGGTTAATAATTTCACTTTTCAAGTTGAATCGACTCAAATAAAAGTCAAATGTTCTAAATTTAAATCTAAATTTTTGAAGATAAAAATTTTCTAACCGCAAAACCGTTTCCAAAGTGCTGCACAAACATCAGAAAACGAAGACAACAAAAAGTAAATTGTAAAAAAAAAATGTGTTAGGGTGACCAGATTTTCAAAATAAAAAACTGGGTTTTTTTTTTTTTTGGTTTTTTTTTGGGTGGTTGTTAATAATAAAACTGTAAAACGAGTGCGAAATTAAAGAAAACTGTTCTGAGACGAACATGAGTTAGAATAATTACATTTTAAAATATGAAAATAAATTTTGCTGCATTTAAAATAAGAAACAAAATAAAACATTATGTCCACAAAATAAGAAAAAAAATCGAATGTTTCTTGTTTCATTGGTCGATAATTTCACTTTTCAAGTTGAATCGACTCAAATAAAATCAAATGTTCTAAATTTAAGTCATTTTAATTTACCTTCATACTTTTTTTCAGTAAATACACTACACATTTCTTTGCTCTTTCAAACTTCTCTCAGGTTTTTCAGATTTATTTTCAACTCACTCACACTGAGACGTTTCATTCTCGTCTAGAGTCGTTTATTTGAAGATAAAAATTTATTTTCTAAACACAAAACTGTTGTAATAATAATGCAAATGATGATGATGAAGTTTCTGAAACTGGACCAACTCAGATCTGAACCGGACTCACGCTCAGCCTCTGTAGCGCCGCCTCCTGACCTAACCTGAAACAACAGGACAACAACAGGTAAACCAGGACTAAACCAGGACTAAACCAGGTCTAAACCAGGTCTAAACCAGGTCTAAACCAGGACTAAACCAGGACTAAACCAGGACTAAACCAGGAGTCTCTAAAACCAGGTCTAAACCAGGTCTAAACCAGGACTAAACCAGGTCTAAACCAGGCTAAACCCTCTAAACCAGGACTAAACCAGGTCTAAACCAGGACTAAACCAGGTCTAAACCAGGACTAAACCAGGACTAAACCAGGTCTAAACCAGGACTAAACCAGGTCTAAACCAGGACTAAACCAGGTCTAAACCAGGACTAAACCAGGTCTAAACCAGGACTAAACCAGGTCTAAACCAGGTCTAAACCAGGTCTAAACCAGGTCTAAACTAAGACTAAACCAGGACTAAACCAGGTCTAAACCAGGACTAAACCAGGACTACACCAGGTCTAAACCAGGACTACACCAGGTCTAAACCAGGACTAAACCAGGACTAAACCAGGACCAGGTCTAAACCAGGTCTAAACCAGGACTAAACCAGGTCTAAACCAGGACTAAACCAGGTCTAAACCAGGTCTAAACCAGGACTAAACCAGGACCAGGTCTAAACCAGGTCTAAACCAGGACTAAACCAGGAACCAGGTCTAAACCAGGTCTAAACCAGGACTAAACCAGGTCTAAACCAGGACTAAACCAGGACTAAACCAGGACTAAACCAGGTCTAAACCAGGACTAAACCAGGTCTAAACCAGGACTAAACCAGGTCTAAACCAGGAGGTCTAAACCAGGTCTAAACCAGGTCTAAACCAGGACTAAACCAGGACTAAACCAGGACTAAACCCTAAACCAGGACTAAACCAGGACTAAAAACCAGGTCTAAACCAGGACTAAACCAGGACTAAACCAGGACTAAACCAGGTCTAAACCAGGACTAAACCAGGACTCTAAACCAGGTCTAAACCAGGTCTCTAAACCAGGTCTAAACCAGGTCTAAAACCAGGTCTAAACCAGGCAGGTCTAAACC